CACAAAAACATCAAAATCAGCACAGAAACAGTACTATATAACATTTTAGACACATTCTAGACAGTTTATCAGCTAAAAAAGTTAATTTTGGGGTAAGTTACTCTTTAAGGTTGCAGCTTTAATTGTACTTTTAGCTTATTTTTGTAAAGGAAAGAAACAACCTATGACGGCCTGCCCAGGCTAGGAAACACCTTGTAGTTCTGCTCATTTTAATGTGGGAAGAGAATTGTATGAAAAACAAAACAACAAACTTATGACAGTGTGTGAAGTCACTTTTAAGTAAAAAGTGCACAATAACAAAASAGAACTTCAGTACACGTCATTTAAAAAATAAATGTCTTTTTTTTCTCTTGYATATTTATTGCTCAGCTGTAAAAGGATGCTGATTTACTCTGAAAAACGAAGTGGTGTGAAAATTAAAAAGTGTACTTTTGTGTAATTCAATAATAATAAAAATTATTCTGAAAAAAGTTCAACATTTGTAAACATATATGTATTTTGGAAGTGACAACTCACACTATTTTTTGTACATAACTAAACAAAAGGGGTTTCAACAATTTAAAAGCTGAAGTCTTTTCAGCGGTGGTTAGGGTTAGGGTTAGGTATGGTTAACAGTGATGAGATGTTGCTCTGGTCCAGAAATATTCAACTAAACTGCTTATTGGGCTACACTTACTAAAAGCTGCTCATGAAAAATAAAAATAAAGTAAATAAATACAAACAGTCTACATGTTTTTTTTTTTTTGTAAATCTAATGTAATTTCAAAAAAAAAGTTTTGATGGTTTAAATGTTTTATTTTATATTAAGGCAGGCCGGCTGGACTGAAGTCACCCACAGGCCAAATGTGGACCATGGTCCACCAGTTGAAAAGCTCTAGTATACTGTATTACAGCCAGACACAAGGAGCTGCATTTAATACTAATGAGTGCTATAATATCCTTTTAATTTATGAAGATGCAGAGTCAAAATGTAAAAAATAAAAATTAAAAAGTAGTAATTGTGACCATGCTTGACCAGAATTATGCCTTTCAGTTGAAGCTGTACTAAAATGTACCCCTCCCAGGGTTCTAAATTACAAATGGGAGTCTTAAAGCTGCTTTTTAAACTTTATATTTAGCTTCTTAATAATTCAAATGTAAGCACTCTGTGATGATCAAGCCCCAGGAGTATAATGTAAGCAGACGGTTCTTATTGGTCATGTTTTGGGCTGAGGGCAGCCGGCGCYGCGTTCACGTACCGTTGACAACGAGCGTGACGTTAAGCTTCTTTTCCAGTGAAGCGGCTCGATTCCTCAGCACCACCGTGTACCAGCCGAAATCCTCCTGACAAACCTCCTTAATCTCCAATGCGTGGCTGGAGTGCACCCTCATCCTTTTCATTTTGAACTCGGGCCGGTGGTTTATCGGCACTCCGTTTTTATACCTGGACAGAAGACGACACAAGCTGCTCAGTCGATCTCTGAACTGCAGCCACGTTGGGCCCAACTKTGCTGCAGAAAACATCTTTTTTACTTTTAATGACAGACCCAGACGGGCTTATCTTACCACTGTGTTTCCGGTGTGGGAAAGGCAGAAACGTTCAGCTGTAACTTGAACGACTTCTGGCCGGCGGTCACCTCCACCACAGGTCCATCTCTGTAGTCAAGGTGGATAAACGGCCTTTCTGGAATTAGAGGCATTTTGTTTACAAAAAGTGCTCATGGCTTTAAAAGCTAAAAGTCTGAGCATGAAACATTCAACCACCACGGGCTTGAAAGGAGGTTTTAAAGGTTTTTTTTTTCTTCCTCCATGTCTCCTTTCCATGCAGACCTAAGAGTTTCTCTGGATTTTGAACACAAATCTGGGGTTTAAAAGAGAAGAGCTGGAACAACTGGAGTGGTTTCCTAACGACACTTTAATAGTCCAAAACGATAAAAGCTCAAGTGGTCACACAATGAAAGAAATAGGCAAATTTAGTTTTTAACAGCAATGAGAAGTGCAAAACAAATCACAGCCTGAAACACAATATAAATCAGACGTATTAACAAGTTACAAGAAATGTTGTGGCTGATGTACTGAAAGAGCAGATCAAAGAGGGCAGCTGGGGATATAATGTAACACAACATTTATGGTTATTTCAAAACTGGAAAGATGTTACTATTTCAGCTGAGTGAGGAGTTTCTCCACATTACACACTAAAACATCATAATAAAAAAACACCACAACATGCTTTAGTTTGGATTTAGACCCATGACAGAGAAACAGAAATAGATCTATGTGAAGTTACTAATAAATAGTTAATAAAAATAGCTTTTACTGGGATTCAATTTTGGTATAAATGTCTAACTTTATATGTGGCTTGTTGGGATTTAATATCTTTACTTAGTTTAAATACTGAGGTGAAAGGGAAGTTTTTTCTGAAGTGGGGTTCTAAAGAGTCAGTCAGTGTCTTACCTGAAGCATACAGGTTCTTGAATCGAGGAGAAATTCTCATGAAGGAGCTAACAGCTGGGTCTTCACTATAAATAACCATGCTTTTGTTGTGTTTTTCCTTCACTCTTCTTGGTTTCCCTGCGTTAATGCCCCCTGTGTTAACGCTGCCCACTGACCCCTTATTTCCCTCCTCTGGGGCCTCGCGTATAAACRGTGCGTACGCATAAAAAGTTACATGCGCCAGGTTCTACGCTCACGCTGGGATGTATCAAAACCAACGTTGCGTAAAAGTTGCTTATATTTACATACACTTTTCACCTGCCGTGAGAATGTGCGGCAGACACGCAAAGTTTTTCCGTCGACAGTTTTGACCCACAAAGTCACGAATCTGATCTGAATCCACAGAAATATGACTCTGTTGTGTTTTCTGGATGTTARGAGCGTCTGAACACGGTGTCAGATTTTAATTTTAGTTTGAGTTTTTATTGTTTAAACTCGAACGATCGTGAAACTGAACCCCGGGACTGAAAATCATTTAACCTCAGACAAGGAAATAGATCAGYCTAAAAAYGATCAAAAGAACTTCGGTCCAAACTGTAAACTTTTTATATTTTTGTAGTTGGAAACACACGCAGAGCACGTGGCCTGCGGAGCGCACACACAGCTGAGGAGAATAAAATGTGTGAATTTTCTAAGAAACATTTTTAATTTTCATTGAGAAAAAAACATTATCAACTCAGAATATTCAGCTGTGATGATTCCTCAGCTCCCCAAGACGCAACAGATTTATTGCTGCGTAAAGTTGTGCGTATGGCTCAGTCAGCTGTTCCCAGTCCCACACTGTGGCAGAAACTCGCARCGCTGCGAGTCCAACGCATTCTCACTCCCCCTGCGTCATTTTGACGCTTGGTCAGGTAGTCTTTTGCGTCCAGCTTTTATGCGCCGGGTGCCCCCCGTGTTTACAGTCATTTATTAAAGACGTGTAAAGGTGGAAATATTTCTCAGCCTCATGCGCCACTGAAAATACACACGCGTACACACCAACACCCACACACACCTTTGCGAGTGGCAAACATATTTTTACACCCCACTACTTATATAGATAATTTTGTCACTCATTCTGCATTTACAGTATAACTTTTCTGCATCTAAAAATCATTTCTGAGGACAATCTGAGGAGAATCTCACACGCTGGACACATTTTCATCTATTTTACAGATTTAAATGGAGGMGTGTCAGGGGAGGGGTCTCAGGTGTGCTCAGTTCCACGTTCATTGGGACGTATAAAGGAAAGGTGTGCAGGAACATGTGTGCGCACGGTTTTATACATCTGAATTTTTTGGTGCGGCGCACTTTTCTAAATTTGTCCGTACGTCAACTTTTAGTGTGAAAGCTGTGCAGTCCTTTTATGCATGAGGCCCCTGGTGTTCCGATGAGTATAATTATGTTCTATGCCTTTTTTCTGAGTTCTGTGCTKTTTGACTCCTCCGTGAGAATTCCTCCCTGATTCTCCAAACTAAAATCGTGTGGCTTGTTATTTTGTTGTAAATTTTCAGAGATTAATCAGGCATAAAGGGAAGTTTAGGCAGGTTTTCACCATGAACTTTGACTTGTGTCTGGATAATTGCTGTTGAGTCCTCGCTGGTGACGTTGCAGACGTACGGTCCAGAATCTGTGACGTTGACGTTGTAGATAGTCAGGACCCGAACGGCCTCTGTGGCGTGAGACAGAGCCTCTCTGTAGGGCTTCTCCACACAGCTGTTCGTCTGGAGAGCAGAAACAAACCGAGCTCTTTGTAAACCACCAGCTGAAGCGTTTAAAGGGATCCCCGATTAGCTGTAACATTAGACTTTACTTGTTAAACACATATTTTAACTGTAAAATAAAGACTAAAAATATTGTAGGATGCTCCGTTTTTGTAATTTTTAAACTTAAAGTTTAAAAATATATTACACGGACGGAGCCATTTTATTTACACGCAAAGCATTCTGGGTAAATG